AAATACTGCCTCTGCCATCTGGTGGCTCACACCTGTAATTCTAGCACTTTGGAATGCTAAAACAGGAGGATCACTAAGTCCAAAGAAAGAAAGAAAGAAAGAAAGCGTGGAAACATAGCTGGTTCATAAATCACAGGATAGTTACTACTTTATCTTTTACAGAGAAAGTCTGTCAGCCTGTGTTGTAGACCCTAAATCCATACCCAATGCCAAACCACATTGCTTTTCACAGTTCAACAAAGGAACTGAGAGATACTGAAGCTCTTAACCTCAAACATGACCTAGGTAAGGGAACAAATTTCTACTTATTCATTCCTTATAAAATATCAATGCCCTTGACAACATAAAAATTTGCTCAAACGCCACCTTTTTTTTCTCTTTTTTTGAGACAGAGTCTTACTTGTGTCACCCTCGGTAGAGTACATTGTGTCACAGCTCACAGCATTCTCAAACTCTTGGGCTTAAGGGATTCTCTTGCCTCAGCCTCCCAAGGAGGTGAGACTATAGGTGCCAGCCACAATGCCCGGCTATTTTTTTGTTGTAGTCATCAGGGTTGTTTAGCAGGCGCAGGCTGGGTTCTAACCCACCAGCCCAGGTGTATGTGGTCAGCACCCTATCCACTTAGCTATGGGTGCTGAGCCTCAAACTCCACCTTTTCTTAAAATTAAAAAAAAAAAAAATTTTTTTTGTAGAGGCAGTCTTATTATGTTTTCCAGGCTGGTCTTAAACTCCTCAGCCTCAAGAGTTCCTCCTGCCTTCCAATATGTCAGTTTTTTTGTTGTTTTTTTTTTGAGACAGAGCCTCAAGCTGTCCCCCTGGGTGGAGTGTGATGGCATCACAGCTCACAGCAACCTCCAACTCCTGGGCTCAAGTGAGTCTCCTGCCTCCACCTCCCAAGTAGCTGGGACTACAGGTAACCCGCCACAATGCCTGGCTATTTTTTAGTTGCAGCCATCATTATTGTTTGGCAGGCCCAGGCTGGATTCGAACCTGCCAGCTCAGGTATATGTGGCTGGTGCCTTAGCCACTTAAGCCACAGGCATCGAGCCCCAATATGTCAGTTTTAAAGCCTTAAAAGGTGATAAGCTTGTAGTGACCAACACAGTGACTAGTAATCAAAGTATTTTCTTGCTATGCTCTAAATATCAGGCCAGAGGTAAAAAACAACAAAAAACCAAAACAAAACAAAAAACCCCAAGTAAACATCAGGTCAAAGGTAAACACCAAAGATAGCTAGTGTTTGATTCTACTTATAAACTTATCTCTTCCTTGGCTCGGCACGAGGAAGCACAGCGGTTATGGCACTAGCAACATACACCAAGACTGGTGGGTTTGCATCCAGCCTGGGCCAGCTAAAAAAGCAATGACAACTGCAACAAAAAGTACCCAGGCATTGTGGCGGGTGCCTGTAGTCCCAGCTACTGAGAGGCTGAGGCAAGAAAATAGTTTATGCCTAAGAGTTTGAGTTTGCTGTGAGCTGTGCTGCCTCCACATTTTACCAAAGGCTATACCAGGGGTCGTCAAACTTTTTAAACAGGGGGCCAGTTCACTGTCCCTCCGACTGTTGAAGGGCCAGACTGCGGGCCTCGGGACAAGTCAGCTGCTAAGCAGGACAGGCAGCCTCAGCAAAAACAGCCGGTGGGCCAGATAAATGTTCTAGGCAGGCTGCATGTGGCCCATGGGCCGTAGTTTGAGGATGCCTGGACACAGTGAGACTGTCTGAAAAAAAGAACAACAAAAAACTTAATCTCCTCCTTAGCAGGGGGCCAGTTCACTGTCCCTCAGACTGTTGGAGGGCTGGACTGTGGGCCCCGGGACCAGTTGGCTGCTAAGCAGGACAGGCAGTGGCGGCAAAAACACCCAGTGGGCCAGATAAATGTCCTGGGCAGGCTGCATGTGGCCCACAGGCCGTAGTTTGAGGACGCCTGCTCTATATGAACACTCTAATATATTACAACGCACTAATATTAACCCCAGGAGGTATTTTTCTATACCAAAAGATACTTAGGAAAACAGAGCAGACAAAAGACTTGAACAGTTTCTCAAATGCATCTATAAATAACACACAGAGGAGAGGCTTAGTCACCAGGGAATACACTGAAGAACAGGCCTGTATGACCCTGTCACAGGCCTCAG